ATTTTTTTTTAACACTTAATTTGGGTCATGGAAGGTTCAGATTAAGTCCATTTTCTCCTGTCCTTTCACTTGAGTTGTGACAGAAGAGACCAACCCCCACCTCGCTATACCCTTCTTTCAAGATAGTTGTAGAGAGCAATGAGGTCCCTCTGATCTTCTCCAGACTAAACATCCCCAGCTCCCTCAGCCACTGCTCATCATCAGACTTGTGCTCCAGATCCTTCCCCAGGTCCGCTGCCGTTCTCTGGACACACTCCAGCACATCAATACCCTTTTTGAAGTGAGTGACCCAGAACTGTACGCAGTCTTAGTCACTTTTTCTCAGTCAGGGCCTCGGGTATATGTAGCTGTGTGAATGGCTTGATCTTGTTTTCTCACTTACAGACTATGCTGCAGTGTAATGTGACTCAGGCAGGTGCACACTGCTGATGGCACAAGGTCTGTTTTTCCAGCATTGAGGACTCACTCTGAAGGCAGTCAGTTCTCGTGTTTTAAGAAGTGTGTTGGTGTCATCACAGTCTGCATGCTGCGAAGACTAAACTTAGGATGAAATAGTTGAATTTATACTTTCTGAGAATCTTCACTCCAAGTCCTTGCTGAGCAGCTCCTTTAGCTCTTTGTTTTGGTTTGGATGGTATTGGGTGGCTAACCTTACAGCAGCACAACTTACAGAGCAGGTATGCCTGATGAAGGCAAGTAGTTCTTGTAACAGTGTTCTTTGGAGTCTCTACAGACGCCCTCTCAAGGCAGGAATCTTACAAAATTTTATTGGACTTTCCAGTTCATCAGAACTGACGTTGTTCTGGGAGGACATAATTATCTGTGTTACTGGAAGGGAGTAGGCAAATTGCCACAAAGCAAGCTGTGACTCCTAAACAACAGCTTAGCTATACAACACCTCTTGAAATGTGGTTTTCTGCCACCTAAAGCACTCAGAAAAGCATATTAACGTGCTAAGCTGACTTCTCAATGCCTAGAGATGTTCTGTTGCAGCTACTCTTAAGAGAAAAATAAGTAGACCAAATCAATTATTATTAATATATTTCTGAGAGCTTGTATTTATTCTAAAGTACTTTTTCAAAGCATGATTTTGTTTTAAAAGCCTCTATTTCTTCCCTGTTATGCCTTCCTGTCTCCAGGGCCCTGTGGATAGGAAGGTATGTTGAGCAAAGTACTAAAAACAACAAAACAAGACCCCAACAAACAAACAAAAACCAGGGATGTCTGTTGAACTGAATAAATTGCAATTGAAAAGTCCCTTTCTGCTCCTGTTACATTAACAGAATGGAAGATGTTGTGATTCAAATTATGAAAAAGTTTTCTCTAAAACATGTTGACCTGAGACACTTTGTATAGACACTGCTTGAGACGCCTGGGCCTAGACATGAATAACCAGGTTCAGTGTTATCCAGCTTCCACAGAAGGAGAGGAGGGAATCAGTTATTGGAAAGTGTTAACTGATGGACAGAGTGTGTATTAGAAAGCAGAAGGTTTTCTTGAGACCTTAGGAGTATGTAAAGAGTGAATAAAGCACTCTTCGTTGCTTTGACTTTTCAGGGGCTTGCTCCAAGCCTCACTCCCATTCACTTGCACTGTAGCGGGACTAAGAATGGGTGCTTCCAAAGTGCTGGGATGCTTTAGGAATGTAAGGATTATTTTAAACTGCAGTGGGGAGGAGTATAGGATTTACCCCTTCTCTGCTAACATTTGTTAATGGAATTAGCGATTCAGTGTTACCTTAAGGTTCCTTAGCCCAAAGTGTGATGGCTATCAGTGCCTCATCTGTCCATAAAAGAACTCCGGGTCACACTTCAATTTTAAAAATATAAGGATACTGTTAGGAGCAGGGCAGATTGTGATAAGGATTACTCTGTCATTGGGCTTCCTGCAATGACAAAAATCTGTGAGGAAATATCTGCATTGCAGCAGCCATTTTCAGTCAGGATGCTGAACCCTGACTGGCACGAGCAGTAGATCCCATGTTGTCATCACACATATTTTTGTGTTTGTCTGTCACCTTCACCTTTTGATCCTGATAAATGGTTTGTGGAGGTTTTAGGTAAAACTGATGTAATAATGAAAAATGCCCAGATTTTACCATCTAGGCTCATTAAATTGCCAGTTTGAGAGCTGTCCCAGTGAAATTAGTGAGACCATGTCTGGAGCAAAGATTACAGACTATGGCTACACAAGGATGTCAGAGGAATTCTTTAAACTTTGTCTAAAAATGAAGAGTTCTGTTGTATTTGTAAATGTAGTTAGATGGTTTACTAGGCAATGTGGAGGAATCTGTGTGACATGACTATTTTTGGATATGTTTTAACAGTATGTCACAATACTTGAGAGATTTTGGTTTTCATTGCTCCGTGAAGAATAATTTGCAAACACTGTATTGAAGAATGCTCTCACCCAAGCTCAAGGGATGTGATTCTTACCATACAATGGTTCAATGATCTTCCAGGGCTGTCACACTCATTTGAAGACTCTACAGTAACTTGCCACATGACCATAAAATTTAGTCTAGGTTTCCTTTGTCTCCATTTGTTTTGTTTTGCTTTTGGGGGGGGGAAAGTGGGGGGTGTATTGAATTTTTTTTAGGGGGTGGTGGTAGTATAAGCCCTTCCTTCCAGACACCTCTGTAAATAGTTGATTAAATACTTTTCTGCCATGTTTAGGTTGTTTGCATTTTCCCTGCATATGCTGGGATGATACAGCATCACCTGCAGTAAAATATTAATCTAAAATAAGCATTAAAGAAAAATTACGTGCAAAAGTCATCTGGTATCACCATAAATACTGGAGTCTCAACTGCATGGGAAGAAATATGCTTATCTCACTAAATTTGAAATATCTTGTGAAATTCTTCTAGAACTCAATTCCTCTTTTGCTGAAAACAAATCAGTGTGACCTATTTGACAAGTAAGGTAGCTTTGAAATGTGAGGTTTAAATAATAATTTAAGTATTGACCACAATGATATTTATCAAATTTTTTTTTTTTTTTTTTTTTCGATATGTTGGTCAGTATCCCATTTTTTGAGGGTTTCTTGGGCTCAATTTTGTCTTGCACAGAAAAGGAAATCTTGGAAAATTAATGTAAAGCATACATGCTAGCAGTTATTATTTTCCTTATGCCACGTTTAGGTCCCTAATTTTTCTTGTATTATTTTTGAATATGTGATTTAGACAGATTTAATGCCGTAAAAGTATTGAAGTGGAAAGCGAGTGGAAAACATTGAAAAACTGCCTGCTCCCTGTGGAATGTACAGTCCTAGAAAGCTTGGCCAGCATCAGCAGGCTTCCTTTCTTGTCCCAAGCAATCCCTTTTCCAGCCGGAACAAGCAGTTCTGTAACAGTCCTGTTATCTTGATAATGTAACACTAACAATAACAATGAGACACTGGAGGAATTTGGGGGAGCTTCAGCGTAGGAAAAAAGTGTTACCAAATGGGGAAGAAAATCTCTGGTTAATCTGTGAAAATTGATACAAGACACTGGAGAAGGACAAGTAGACCTGGAGTCTGTGGTCAGCATGATTGCCTCTGGAGCTGCAATCTGCAGGAGATTTTCTGACTGTATTTGTTTGGAATGAAGTGGTTTAGAGAATGTCCCTTCACTGCGATGGCTTTGTTAGTACAGGGATTTTTGTGTGTTGTCAGTTCCCAGCTTGCTTTTCAGCATCACATTACAGCGGCTTCTCAAGCAATCTGGACTTACTGTGGGTTTCAGTAAACAAGAAGTTTCGTAACACTCCTTATTTTTACATTAGCTATGCCATTAATGGTCGTAAAAAATGGTAGCTCTGGTCAGACCCTGGGTGGCAGTGCTGTAAACCATGGTAGATAGTTTATAAACTAAGCAGCATCTCAGAAACCACCCAGAGTGGTGCCAGCAGAGCTACAGAATCCTGGATAAATGACTCCTTTAACATCAGACGGAATAAGAGTACTGTTCTATTTCTTTCTCAGGGGACTCTGTTGGCATTTTAGAAATGTTATCATGACATGAAAATACCTTCCTCCCTCATTTTGCAGAATATTTCTCAAGAGATTACAGTGACAGAGGAAATGGCCACTAAGAGCTGTGCTCTGTGCCAGAGAAACATGGGATATAGTCAACAGAGGAGCATGATGTTAGGGAATATCACTTCTACATCCTTGGGATTACACATTGTCCTGTATCCATATCATCATATTGTCCCTTCAGTCATAGCATGACATTCCCATTTAAGATAATGGGATGAAAGCAAAATAAATCACGGTACTGGGCTGCTTCTTTACCAAAGTGCAGCAACGTCAAGAAGTAAGACCCATCTTTTGGGCACTTAACTGAATATACAGGGCTGAAATTAAATTCACAACTTTTGGGATTACTGTATTACTAAAAAAATAGCTAGGCATTGCTAAAGTTTCATTATATTACCTGAGGTTTTAAAAGTGTCCTAATACAGTTTTACTTAAAGAATCTTGAGTGCAGCAGAGAAAACCATTTGTGATACTTTCACGCCATAAGCAGATTTGAAAATTATATTCAACAAATCCACTATTGAATAAATTTCACTATTAGAAAATATTTCCATAATAGAACTGCATTTTAAAATTGAGAAAGCTTCCTTCATTCCTTGGAATAGCTTTTGTGTCATCAAAACATCAGTCATTGCTGGGCTCTCCACATACACTGATGGATGGAAGGACCACACCAAACTTGTGATATTTTGTGAACTCGGTATCAAGCTCTGTTCATTAGACAGGTCAAAATCTGATGCACACACCTAATTCCCATAAGATATTTCCCTTTTTAGCCCTGGGCTCTAACAAATTTGGCTGTGGATGTGAAAGAGCAGCAGTAGAGAGGTAGGATTTAGTTTATCAGGATCATAACCAGACTGACTGCATTTTATGGAATGAAAAGCAACCTCGAGTTCTGCCTTTATACAGCATAGTAGTCCTAGCAGTTAATTGTGAATTGGGCTTGTTGAAGCTTAATTTTTTTCTTCTTACAGATATCCACATTTCTAGAAAGCAGAAATGACCATGACTGCCAACAAGAATGCCAGTGTCAACAGCAGAGCTGGAGGGAGTAAAGTGCCCCAGGACACTCTGGATAGGTAAGTGGTGAACTGCAAGATCTGTAGATTCTGAGAAAGGTTTGTTTGTGTTGGAAACAAAATCCCTGTTCAAAGGTAAGCTTCTATTCTGACACATCTCTTGGCTGGGAGAAGTTTTTTGTAGGGGCAGGAGGAACTGAAGTATGAGTAAAGGGCTGCTGCTGGTGTATTTCTGTTGGGCTGTTGCTGCTTTCCATCTGGTTATAAGGAAGGTGATTACAAGGAAGGACCTGTGTGGAAGGTGCTGTGCAGGCTTCAGGAGACTTGGGCTAAATTTCTCAGCCATGTGACTGCATGACAACCTCCAGTTTGTTTTGTCTTGGTTTCTGTCACATTTTCTCTGCTGTATCTGCTGTTGCAGACTGGGGTCAGACTGTCTCCTGTTGCAGATCAGGCAGTGAGTGGGAAAGGGCTGAATGTAAAGTACAGGGCACATCTCTGTTTCTTTGCTTATTTGTCTTTTCTGTAGCATTAAAGTAATTTGAAAGGTAGATCCACACCTGATAAGCTGCACCATGGTTGTTCCTAGCTGACGGAAGTACAGTATGTGCACAGAAGGATTACACTGGGAGAACTCTACTGTTTCAAATACACTAGTAAACACTGGGATACAGGTGAGGAGATCACAGAATTACTGTTCAGTTTTGTCCACTTGCAAATGAAATGTCAGAGGCAAAAAGTCCCTGTATTGCAGCTGCCAGAATAGCTGGCATAGATGGAAAAGTTCAGACAGAGAAATTAAGGAGAGTTGGTTTTGATCCTAGAGGGGAGCTGCAAGTCAGCTCTAAAGTGATGTTGAATGATGGCTTGGTTTGTCATACCTGTCTTTGTATTCTGAACTTTTCCAAGCACAAACAATAGGAAAAAGAAAATATAAATTACATTCTGAGATTTTTCAGGATGAAAGTAACAAAAAATATATATTTAGCAGTTTATTTCTTTTCTGTTTTTATTTTAAGGAGAACTTCTTTTTGATGACACATCTGTTTTTCATTTAGACACTCTGGGTTTTTTTTCTCAGTTTTAGACCTTTCCATGGCTGCCTCTGCATTACCTTTTGTATCTAATAACTTATTGCTCTCTTCCAGCTCTTTACCACATCTTCTTCCCACTTATCTACACATATAATTGAATTACAATAATCCCAGACAATTTTCCTGAGTTGGATGAAGTGGGTACATCCTGATTACCAAGGGATAGGCCAGTCTCCAAAGTAGCAATGAGTTAGCAATCAGGAGCCTTAAGTTAGAACCCTGACCCTAATCCTGTCTGTGCCAGTGACCTCCTTCGTGGCATCATCACATCCTTCCCGTGTCTAAATCTGTCATTAGGTTGATCTGCCTTTCTTCTTGCTGGTGTTGTTCTCCTTTTCTTTTTTAAAATGTGCAGTCAAATCAAGATAGAGATAACTGGCATCCATTCTAGTGGTTTTTATTAGACAATATTACACTGTGTTAAAGCTCAGCAGAGATGGACTCGATATCCTTGTACACATCCCAGTTTGTTAGTTTGTGTGTTTGCCATCTCTTAGTACAAAACAGTAAAAACATAATATAAAGAGGGCCCAGAGCAGCTAGAGAAATTTCTAGAGAACTATTCATATGTAGATACTAAACCCAGATCTCTAATGATATCTGGCATTCTCAAGCTGCTTATCATCCTTCCATCAGTGCATACAGATTGGTGCTGGCAACTTGGGTCTAGACTTCAGCAAAATTTTGGACCAAATGTTTAGTTTTAAAATCTTTTTCATTCTGAATAGCTTAGAAACTACTGTGGGATACTAAGTTACTGGATAGTAACTGTCAAATAAACTATCTTTCCTTATCATCATCATCATCATCTGTTTTGATTAGAATTTGTCAGGAAAAGATTTTGTAAGTACAAGTATGAGCCTGAAGCTAAGGAAGATCTTTGAGTTGCACTTGCACAAGTGGGGAGATGAGTAGGTGGTCAAGCACCATTTCTCCCTCCATTATTTTGCCTTATGCAATCTTCTTCACCTGTCTTTGAGAAACCCTGTAAGAGGATGCTATTTGAGTCAATCATGAGGATTCTTCGTTTTAGTCAGACTGTAAATCAGTACTGGAATAAGCACTGGCATAATAAAAGTTCAAGGCTTGCAGGATTTATTGCAAACATGTTCAAACATTCACTTAAACTGAACAGTCACTCTGCTTTGTATGGGATTTGGCTGGACATTTGGAAATCTGCAAATGTATTTTATAGTTTGTGGTAGAAGAGTTTCATTTAGTGCTGATATTGCTGCAGCATAGGTGTATTAATCTCCTGGTGGCTAAGGCATATTTTTAGTGTTATTTTCTTGTCAGTCCTAGTTTTGGTGAGGTTTATTGTTTCAAGACTGTTTGCTTGGACTTGATCTCAAAGGTCTTTTCCAACCTCAGTGATTCTAAGATTCTAAGACATGGAGGTGTGATTCAGTGATTTAGTGTCACCAACTGGTTCAAACTTTTGTGATTCTTTATGGATCCGAAACAAAGGTCAGTAAAGTCTGTATAAGTCTTTTTGATTACTTTGGCTGTGAATCAGATCTCTGTGGATCACAGATTTAAATTTTAATAATAAAAGTCTTCAAAAAGAAGGTGCCTGCAAGTAAACAGCAAGCATCAAGGTTCTTGCAGTAACTAAGATTCTATTGTTCCTCACCAGGGCGTGGATTCACATGAGCCACAAGAGCCATTTTTCCACCAGATTTGTGTGAATGGCAGTTTAGGAAATGAGGGAGAGACAGAGCAGAGTGAGGACATTATTTGGGAGGGTAACTGTGACTCTTTCCTGAGAAACTGGCTGTGGGATTCATGGGTTTCTGCCATAAGCACAGGAGGGGAAAATCCTTGGATTTGAAGAAAGTGAAGTGATTTTAATAAATAAATCCACACTAATGTATTCTTTCTGAAGCTACTGGAGGCTCATTCACCACTTGTTACAAACAGATTTTTGTGTGTTTTAGGTGAGACAAACCTGACTGTGTCCTGAATAGGAAAACTGTAGAATGATGACAAGGGTATTGAAGGTAGGGAACATTTTCAGTAGAAGGCAAGAGTAGATTGATCATGACTCTTCATCCTAGAAAGGAAAGGATTGGAGTGGAAGAGGAGGTAACAGAAGTCTCTGAAATGATATATGGAACAGTGAGGATAAATAGGGAAAAAAAAATCTCTTTCTGTTTAAGAAGTGACACAAATCAAATAAAATTAGAAGACAACAGGTTGAAAATCAGTTGAAAAGAAGGCACTTCTCTGCAGCATGTTTTTAAACTATGAAACCTATTGCTATGGAATGTTGCAATTGGACAAATTCTTATAAGAAAAATCTTCCAAAGGCTTTTAGTCACAGAAACAAAATCTGTGAGTCACCAGACTGTTAAGCTGGTTAAGTTGCACTGCATGCTCATCTTGTTCTTGTTCTCCTCTCCAGGCACCTGCTAACCATCATGATCAGTGACTGAGCTGGGACCAGGAATGCTTTTTGGGTCCAAGCCAGTGGGGACATTCTGATGTTTTTTGGAATAGTCAATAGTAACAGGAAGCAAAATTGGAGAAATTGCAAAAGGATAGTTATTCTTACAAAATGAGACTTTCTGGCTTTTGATGAACTTCAAAGGCACAACTTTAATCCTTCCTTGTGAGTCACAGAGGTGAACGCCAAGGAACAGAAGGATAGCAAAGCACCTTATGTGAAGCTGAAAGAGACTTCTGAGCAGTTCTGGCAGCAAGCAGCTCTGTGAAAACTTCTTAACTCTTCAACGGGAGACAAAGGAGCCTGGAGCATGCTTGCAGCTAGTTCATGACCTTTTTGTATTAAATGACTATTTGGTTTGATTGCACCATAGTTAAGAGGATCAGTGTAACTCTGAGGAAACACTAAGAGAACAGAAGTCAAAGAAAGGCATAGCAGTGGGTGTAGCTCTCTCTCCCTGCAACGTGGCTTGTTTTCCCTTCGCAAATGATTTAATATTTGTCTGGGTTCTTTGAGTTTTATGCAGAAACTTAATTTTAATTAATGAATTCATTCACAAGGTATTTGTCCTAATCTAGTGTTTGCTCCAGTGCATACAAAGGTAACTGTAGAAATGGCACTACCACCTCTGACTTAAAAATCACCTTTACACTATATTGTATTAAACCAGGCCTATAGTTATGTCTATGAGGTGATGCTCTACTTGATAAAATACGGGTTTCAAACTTGTAGTCTATAGAGTATAACAGAGACAAGGAGAAAAAAAATCCTAAACAAAATAATTATATATTAATATCTCATTACATTTTAAGATTGCAGCTTATTTTGAGATGCAAGATGCAATGAGGACCAGAGCTAAAAAATGTTTAGAGTAAGTGTGGCTATGGAACTTGTGTAAATCACTCCTAATGTCTTTACCTCTGGCTAATATGCCATCTCTTAACTCTGGATCTCAAGGCCTTTTATACACTTCTTACCTGTTGCAGTATACTACTGGAAGTACATGAAGCCCATTAATTTACAGTTTTTTGTCTGAGAGTATTGAATGAGGCATAAATAATTTCAGATTTCTGGCTTCTCCCAGTGCGTTTGTAAGTGACAGAATTTCTCTTTGCCTCTAATATTTTCTGTGGTTCAGGCTGTGCCTTGTGTATGAGTCCCACCATGGAGAATAGGGGAGAGCTTTTGAAAGCTTAAACACATTTGTATATCGCTTGCAGTGAACAAAAATTAGGTTCTCTGCAACTAAGTGTTGTACTAGCGTGGTGACTTCAGTAGTATAGATAGGGGGACTGCCATCAGGAGCTGGAACACCTTTGTAGTTTAAAGTCTCTGGACTCGATTTGGGAAGATAGCCAAAGCAGAAACCCATCTCCGTTCCAACTGTGGAAAAGGACGATGTCTGAGGAAAACTACTCTCAGAGGCTGTGTGTCTGAGGAAAACTGTGTCACCAGAATCATATGAGTTTCAGTGCAGACTGGATTTTGTGATGTGGGCTGTTGTCTTTCTGCCCAATCTG